CCCTGGTCTACAGTAGCCATGAACTCGCATGTATTTTCTTATTTGAGGGGGGGGGTGGATGCGTGGGCCACCCGAATAGGTTAAGGGGCCTTTGGCTATTCTTGCCGGGGGGGTGAGGTGCGGTGCCCTCACAAATAGAATCAAATTCTGTGGGGAACACTGATGTCACTGTCATGGTGAATTAAGCTATGTGGCAGAGTGATAATAAACTCAGCTTTCTCACCCAAATGTCAGCCTTTGTAGTGATAATCATTCCAGCGTAGAGGTTGACCATCTCTGGAGCGCGGTATGACAGAGTAGTGTACCTGGTTTAAAGAACACTAATGAGCTTTGTATTTTTTTTAAGCAGAGAAAGGATCATAAGAGTAAAGAGCCCAAAAAACCCACTTTTTGATTTCCTCCTCCACCACTGGCACCCCCTCTGTCTGAGGGTTTTGGAAGCGGTTGGTGGCACTTCCAAAATCACAGAGCACATAATGTCCCCGGTCGTGCAGAAGGATATTTTCCACCTGCATGAATAAGACAAAAAGAGACCTGTCAGAACTTATAGTGCATGAAAAGACCTCACATAACAGTTCTTCCAAATAATGACCAATTAACTATCCTTATGCCGTCAGAAGCATTCTATAAAGTGAATTAGACTTGCCTTAAGATCTCGATGGACGATTGGAGTATTGCACTGGTGGAGACGAGCGAGCGCCTCGCACGTGTCACAAAAGATCTGAAGCACCTCGGCCTCAGTGAAGCCCGTCTGCAGCCGCTGGTTCATTAGGTTAACCACCTGCCCGCCTGCATAGAACAGATACAGTCAACTAAGGTATAATGAATAACTTTAATGTGTCATTTTATAAATTTGACTTACTACATTTTACCAGTTTTTTTTTACTATTTCAATCAGTGAGAGATACAGCTTACACCGTTCTTTTTCAATCAATTCTTGAGACACTTTAAAACTGAAAAATATTGTAAAGAAGATGAAAGAATTGTTTAATTATTGTAAATTCAACACTGCATTAACATGGTGGGTTTTATGGAAAGTTTGTTTGAATGGAATAGATCTTATGTTACAAGCACAAGATATATTCGATTCAGAAACTAGACAGTGATGTAAATATTTATACATTCTATAAATAACACCACTCAGCAGCGTATTGAATTAAACAGACTTTATATTGACTATAGACAGCTGTTGTCTAAATGTTTGCATCGAACTGAACAGGAATCTGTATGAAGCTGAGGGTAATGGAGCTTTGAGCTCAATAGAGACAGAAAGAAATGGGGGGGGGGGTGTTTTTACCTCGACAGAAGTCCATTAAGATTAGGACTTCCCAAACATCGCCAGCTCCAACTGCTGTAATGCTGGAGTCCAGGAAACCAACTATGTTTTTGTTGCCCACTAGGTCCCTCTGTGTACAGAGAAAGCAACAGTGACAGACCATTTGGATACAACATAATCATACATTCTACAGGCTTTGAAACATTTGGGTAAGTAAATAACAAAGAAAACACCCATGTTTATAGATATTTAGTCTATTTTTAACAGAGTTGCTGATTCTCTGCCAAAGGTCCGGACGTTATGATGATAACCATCCAGCGATAGTCATGCCACCCAGGGTGTGGCTGCAAGAGCTGAGGAACTGAGTTAGTGTCACTTACAGTACGGTCTGCAGTGAGTAGATTAACTTCCAAGGGAGCTTATTGCATTACAATACAACCCTTGAGCTCGCTTCTGTTACTATCACTATTCCTGGGTCAAAGAGTTGTCTCAGATAAAGTGTTTCTACTTAAGGTGCATAGGTCTTAAAGCATTTAGGGCTTGGTCACATTCAGACCACAGATTTCAGAAAGTATTTCAATGAAAACTCTTTCAACTGTTTGTGTTACACTACTTTTAATCTATAAACAGGTTAACATAAACACACAATAACACAATCTGCTCCTACATGACCATCTACAAGTAGTGTCAGAAAATAAAAATATAGTGGTGCGTGTCACTCACCATGATCTGAATCTCAAGTTGACAGACTTGCAGATCATTGTCATTGTTAACATACATCCGTTTGAGTGCACAACGTACGCCTTGATGAGTCCGCACCAGAAAAACTATGGCAAAACCTCCTGCAAATGAATGGAGAGATGGAGAAGGAGACATTAGAACAAAGAAATGTATATTTTCTGAAGAAAAACGCCACCTAAATACACTGTAGTCGAGAATAACTTGTTAAAAATGTCCTATTGCACTGTGTTATTTTTATTTGTAGCTATAGGAGGAGCAAGTAAATACATGGAGACAGTTCTTTAAGTGAAACTGGTTGTTTTAAATTATCACTACGGTCCCTGTCTGTTGCAGATATTCAGTAGTTCTCCAAAAGTATAACTAATAAAAAAAAAACTATTGTGTGTCAAATACTGATTCTAACGGCTACATGTTTCTTTTTTGAGAGCGTCTCAAAACGTCCCCCAGCAGTACTCTCTCAAACCCCGACATATTTTGATCCTGGTAGCTAATGGGGCCGATTAATGGAATTAAGGAATAGGATTATCCTTAACTAAGACTAGGGTTGCAAAGGGGCGGAACATTTCCGGTAAGTTTCCATGGGAAGTTAAGCTGGGGCATTTTGGAAATATTCCATATTGGAAACTTTCCATGGGAATTAATGGGAACTAACTGGGATTGAGGGTAATGTAATTGAATTGTATCATATCCAAGCATACATATAAACATTTTGTTTTGTCATAAGAAAACATCCATGCAAAATGATACAATTAAAAAAGATGACATTTCAACAGATTTATTTGTAAGTACAACAGAACAAGTTTTAATTATTATTGAACAATCATTTGTTTCATTGAAGAACAAAAACATGAATGTTGAGTTAAATATTACTTCAAGAAATCATGTGTGCATGTGATGGAGGAAAGCACAGTGCCTGTAGGGGGTGTGGCCTCAATAGCCATGCAGTAAGCAGTTTGCTATGTGCATGTGATTGAGGAATGGCATGGATATTCAAGTATACTTGAATGGCATCTGTTTGTTTTAGTCAGATAGATTATGCTAAAATATATTTTCCCCAACTATATTTAAGTTCCCTATGAAGAGCCAACCTTCAATTTAGAAAATTCCCAGTTTATTCCCATAAATTCCAATGTGAAGTTTCGATCTTTGAAAATTCCCGGAATCTTGCAACCCTAACTAAGACATGGATTTCATGTTATTATAGTGCCAAGGTTGGTAGGGAGTGATTAACGGGAAAAAAACGGTGAGAAATAGATGAATGGTAGGCGGGCAGGCGGGCTGGGAGATTGGTACGAGGTGTACAGCACTGTGTGCAGGGCCGGCCCTGACCAATTTGCTGCCCTAGGCCAGATTTTAGCTGTTTTTCATTTATTCTCTTATTTTTGTACAACTATAATGATCATATAAAGGTGTGCCTTTACCTCACTGAGCTGAGGATATCAGAGCCGCTCAGTCTTTCAGGAGAGCTCTCTAAAGCTCTCCCCCCCCGTGGCCGCTTACAAAGTAAATTCCAATGTTAATAAAAGCACACAGAAGCTGTATATAAGGTATAAAACCTATAATTGCACACTAAAACCATTATTTCAAAAAAAGAACTATTTCACATAGACCTCTGGTTTTTACTGGGGCTGGGGCAGTTCAACTTGATTTGGGGGGGGGGGGGGGCGCCATAGTTTATGGGCGCTGTACGCAATATAGGCATAGTTCTGTTAGTATAAGATACTGTCTGTTTGTTTTAATCTGTGTCTATGTTGTTGTCAGTGATGTATTGTCTTATCTTTTTTTAAATGCCTTTGTGATGTGCTGCAAGCCTGCAACCCATTTTCCCCTCACAAATAAACGAATACTAACTATACTATAATAAGATGTACTTTGTTGATCCAAAATCGGGAAATTGTGTTGCTATGAAATAAAAAATGTTGGCACCCCCGATGGGTTGAGCGCCCTTAGCATTCGCCTATACTGCCTATGCCAAGGGCCGGCCCCGACTGTGTGAGTCAGCAGCAGCGCTGAAGAGAATAATGCAAGAAGAAGACACAACTGGCAGAGGATACAGGAAGTGAGAGAATTAATCATCCCACCTTCGCTCGCAGTGATGCTGACACATGGGGGAAACTACATGACAGCTGTATGTATCCTCCAGCCACCAGCAACCACACAAATTAATAAAGGATACATCAACAGATATGACTAACTATACCGGTCAAGTCACAAGGAGAAAGCTTTTACCAATGAAGCTTACATTTCAGGTTTTTCTACAGACTGCACCACACTGGAATGTGAACTGTGGGATAATCTATTGTCTTCACTGGATTGCAGATATGAACTGGCTTCGGCTTGCATTTTGTTATCTCTTCTTTTTACGTAGCAGGTTGTTGTGTTAGTGCAGCTCTTCTGTTCACAGCTTGTGTTAATGCCATGCACTGGGCTGACTCATCCGGATTGCAATACTAAACCCAACGCAGCTCCATGTGAATGGTCTGGATGACATTTGAAAAGGACTGCCTTGGGACTATGAGCTGTATCATTAAATAAATGCACAGAGCACAAAAAGATGATAAGAGTCAACAAATTCTCACTTAAAAACATTCTAACAGGCTTGCCTAAATGATTCATTTAATGCAACAATCCTCACACTACAATTCAAATCATGTTTGTTCAGTGTTATATTTTGTTTGGAACAGGGTGGAGCTGGTTCAGCATTGATGACAACACACATCACAATTTCCCTTATGTCATCAGCTATAAACTCAATACTGAAAAATTCACAATGAAGTGCAAAAATGTGCAACACAGAGCTGCACCAACAGATATGTTAGTGTCCGAGCACTTGGCTGAGCGGTTAGTGTTATTAAGACACAGTATTAGGACACTATCAAACTAACAGATAGCTCATTCACACCAACGCAACTCCGGTTCAAGCTCCGTGCTAGAGCTTTTCAGGTTCAGAACCGGTTCTGCGGTTTAGCTCCGGCTCTTTTCACACTGCCCAGAGTCCGACTGGTGCTGCGTCATCGTTTGCGTCATGACGTAACCGTTTGCGTGCCTGCTTCATAAAGCCAAACCGCGCGGAAACCCCTCACAGCTGACACCGACAACAACAACAATGGCCGATTGTGCTCCAGCTTCGTCTGTACCTCTTCGGAAGACCAGATTCCCAGCAGGTAGCTGGTCTCTTCAGTGGACCACTGCTGCTTGTTAAGTTTATCCATTGTTGTGTACAAACTGGATAAAACGCAGGCTTTTTGTTGTTGTTCAGGAGTTGATCCCACCCCTGCCCCTGCCCCGCCTCCACGTAAGCGTGACGTATGTGGTGCTTTTGCTCTGGCCGGACAATTTTTTGGTGCTTGAAACGAACCGGATTCCGGAGCTAAGAGGCTGCTCCGCTGCGGTGTGAACAGGAAAACCCGGTGCTTTTCAAGCTCCAGCTCCGAACCGGCCCTGAAACACCGTTGGTGTGAATGAGGTATTAGAGCCTATCGTGAATTAGAATAAAGAGACGTCATGAACAGCGTTTCCGCCAGGGGGGGCGTCTTGCCGTCATTTGACGCCCTTATTCAGCTCGGAACGCCCTGAACTCGAGCCGAGGGCGTCCAAAAAAAATAATAATTCGAGAGAAGATCGAGTTTTTATCGCTTGAAATTACGAAAAGGTGTGTTCCTGTGACGGAAAGTGTACTGCCGGAGAGCCTTGACGGGGGTGCTAGTGGAGCACATGCGTGAACTGCGAGCCGTTTAGCAGCCGAAATAGCCGGCTCTTCTTAGTGAGCCGAGCAAAAGGCATTCCCATCACTAATATGTAAAGAGATAGTATCTATAACTTAAGGGACGGCTCAATTCAAAATTCAAGTCACGTGACACAACGTCACACCCCCCGCTCTCGGGGTGGACGCCCTCTCGGCCCTGGTATGGCGGAAACACTGGTCATGATGAACACATGAAACACGCTTGTGAGTGTGTTTGTGTGTGGTACGTCAGAGTTCAGACAGATGACCTTCAGAGCCTAATCTGAAATGCCGGTAGGAAATTAAAAGGATTAGCGGCCTTCTTAAGCAACATTTTTAGCAGTGGTCTTCAATCTCAGCATGTGACAGACAGTGCGAGCAAATAGTTGTAAGTAGAACTACAAATAGCCACTGCCTCGTGACGTAACTGACTTTAAGGATTATACTCCTCTAGCTGTATCCACGCTCAAGCAAATGCACACAAATGTAAACCTTCAGGCACTGCTATGAAAAGCGCAGAGATTGGTAAAAGTGTCCCGTTACAAGTTCTCATCAGTGTAATGGAAGTTATATAACTACCATCACATTTCCTTACAACTACTATGTTGTTAACAAACATGCTTGCAGCAGGGTTACATGACCCAGCAGTAACTGGGGGGGACACTGATTCAATGCAACATTTCCAGAACAGGGCTAATGGTACGAGGAGTGAGTAACTCTATATGGATTGGACAGAAGTAAACACACCTTGTTGATGAAGACAGAAAGCTGTCTCTCGGAAAGTTCTGTGAGGACAAATTACAGACAGCTGCCAGAAGCCCAAATGTCTAAAAAAAGGACTTCAATAATGAGATTCCAAACAAACCTCGAGGCCCAAAGCCACCAGTATGTCCTTCTGACTGCTTGTGTCCGTTTATTGTAAAACAGGCTTCATTTCAGCTAAAGGCAACAGAGTTTAACAATAACAACAAAGGGAGTAGACACAATTTCCAAATCAAGCAGAAAGCCCACAGAAATTAATAGCCCAGACTACAACCAAAACCATCTGAACAAATAGACTTAGTGACACTAGGAGGGAGTCACATTGCAAGCAGTTGGTCCACTCCCAAAGCAAGATTAAATATGATCTGTAGAAAAAACATTCCAACTAGGATTTTGTGAAAGGATCTATAATTTTAGGGAATTAGCATCTTTCACGGTTTACGCTAAATCTGGTTGATGAGGATGAGTGGTGCCTCTCTCAATTCAATGTCTCTAGCAGTTCCAACTTTTCTTTTTTCGGAACTGATTAGAAAATTCAGATGCACTGACTCTGCACAAATTCCACTATATGTTTCCACTGGCATGTCAATGCGGGGTATAACTGCGGTTGGATGTCTAACACATTCATAAAGGTAAGATGTGTCCAAACACATGGGGCCCATCTATAGTACTGATGAATTAATCAGTCTTCTTTCATCTATTATTCAATAACAGCCACTCTTCGCTAACAGGGCATGGCAGACTCTCATTGCAGACAAATGACCATAGGAAACTTGTTCGCCCAATATCAATACGTTTGTTTAACCATGTTCTGGTTAAGACCAGTTTTCAGCAAAACATTTCTCGGCCTTCAGCTCAATGACTGGGATTAACCTACAGCTAATAAACATTGTTTTAAGATAGATAAGTGCAGGCCCCAGGTATGTTATGAAAGTCCAGGTTTGTCACAAGGTCAGGTTTTATGTGTCTGCCCATCCCGATAACCTTTCCCTCTTTTTATCCAACATCAAAACTTCAAATATCTGCATTTGTAATTTGTTACTCCCTCTGTAAATATCAAGACAGATGAGTCAGCATGGCATTGGTCCTTAACAAAACAGTAGAAAATCCAGTTGTGCAATTAGGGTTCCTCCCAGCCTAGAGCTAAAATGTGCTGTATTTCAAGCAGAATACAATCTGATTAACTGACAATTATATTCCCAACCACTCCTACATTTACATCATTTTTCAATCGAGCAATTAAACAAAAGAAGAAAGGATAAGAAAGTAACCTAAGAGCACAAAAGTAAAGTCTGACAATAAAAGAGCATTACAAGAGTTTCCTTGGTGGTCACAATTAATACAACTGTCATGGCAATGTGCCAATACGAATGACCATTGCCTTTCTGATAAGGCAATGGTAATTCTGGCAATGGTAATTCTGATAATTGCCTTACCCTAACCCTAAATGTATGATATATACATTTGGTTTGTAGTCCATTCAGGCCATAACCCCCCAAAAAACAGGCCCACACATAATGTTACTTGACTCAAAACAATGTGGTACAGGGCAGACTGTGGATCTAGATAAGCGTGTTTGTGTGACATGGGTGTAATCCACACAACAGAAAGCCACATAGTTCACCTTCTGCGACAATTTCCTCCACGGTCACCTGATACCGTCCAATGGTGAAGACCCGTCCGATGAAGCTGTCTCCGCCGCCGGATCCAGCGCCTCCTCCACCGGCTCCAGATCCAGGCCCGGAGCTCACCAACTCCCGACGAGAGTCAAAGAATTTCTTCATTTCCCCCCCCAGAGGTTATTCAAAGCAAGTCCAAAATATACTAGTAACGTAACAACAGTTTGGATTGAAGCAGTCCCGGTGCGCTGTTGTGCTGGTGTTAACGCGTAAGCAGTTTTTCAAAAATTGAATGAAAGCTAGCTTCGAGGCTAAATGCTAGCTTATTTAGCTGGACCTTAAATATTCCAAACACTGCGGTCCGACGCACCTTAGCTAACTCATGGTTTGAACAGCAGGCGGAGTCAAATTCTGTTGAGAAAATAATACGCTATAACGTCCATGCGGAAGTCAGCTATTTTCCTCTCTGAAGCGAGAGTAGCACTGGCTGGCTAATTTAGCCGGAAAAAACACTTGTTAGCCGTTAGCACAAAGCTAGCTCAGCAGCTAGGTGCGGTGACAGCTGTCAGTTGATAGGCTGGAAGCCAGGTAGGTCCTAAGTGTCCAATGCAGTTTATTACACATCTCCAATTATATATTCCACCTGAAATAAACCTTAGCTCATCTGCTGCCCTTTCAATCTTTGTCGCATAAAAAAAAAGACAGACCTCCACTGCTTTTGTGCGTCCAGCAGGCTGTGTGGAGGCTGGTCCACTAACTTAATGACAGAGCTAACGTAGCTACAAACAGAGGGGATGCTATGGGGATAGTCTCCAATGCGGACTGCGCTGCTGGACCTCTCTTCATGTGATTGGTCAGAGAAACAACAACTTCCTGTCAGTCCACGCTAGTCCCCTGCTAATACATGCTGGTCCCTCTGGCAGAGGTGTAAAGTAACTAAGTACTTTACTCAAGTAATGTACAATTATGAGATACTTTACTTGAGTATTTTCATTTTATGCCACTTTGTATTTCTACTCCACTACAATTCAGAGGTAGCCTAATTCGTGTAATTTTACTCCACTACATTTATTTTATACCTTTAGTTACTTTGGATTTGGATTAATAATGTGAAATATAGACAACACTTTAAAAGGACTTTGGTTACACCTACAGTAACATTTTCAAGTTACCCTGCAGTATACTCATAACTCATCTCTTTCGACTCCAATTCGAGCGATAGAATTACTAACAAAGCACTTATATACTAATAAAGGACTGGCTTATCTAAAGCCAGTTGAGTAGCACTTGAAATGTTTGGCTCTATGAAACCTGATGTACTTATATGATTCTGTTTTCTTCAAGGTTGTATCTTCCTGGTCGAATGTACTTATTGTAAGTCGCTTTGGATAAAAGCGTCAGCTAAATGCAATGTAATGTAATGTAATGTATACAAAGTAATTCAAACTAGCTGCATAGCTTCGATAAACACATTAATGCATCAATAATCATAATCAAACATATTAAATATATTATTCTGAAATGGAATTAAATAGAGGAAAGTGAGATTGTTTTAATCGGCTCAAGTTGAGCATGAATACAAGTTTGCACTCACAAAAATGAAGAACACTAAAAAGGCTAGGGATTGCAGCATATTTCTTTGTTCGTGTTTTTATAAGACAGGCGCTTCCCCGCGGAGTGGCGAAATAGCAAAACATCCATATGTAAGAGCAAATATGCAAATAAATGTTCATAAACCATCTGGGAATATGTAAAAAGGAACAGCGGCCAATGTACTTGAAAATGATGTACGAGGTCATGAAGGTGTATGAAAGTGCTCCATCACTAAACTGGGCTGGCTCTCAGGCTGGCAGACACAACAAGCACCTATTATCTATCTGTGTCTCCATTTTCCTCTGCTAAAAACAATGTTGCTGCCAAATATGCAGTCGCAGGGAATTATCTAATGATCCCTGTTGATAAAGAGGCCATTAGCACACCTACACTGCAGCCAAAGCTGTGACGGAGCAGAGCAAACACAGAACATAGGCTGTTTAAAAACTATAATACACAATTATCTTGCACTACTAGATGCAAGCAGAAGGTGAACACCTCAACCACTGACATAGTTGCTGCGGCACAGAAAACCTAATTCACAGGGCTCCATGCCTTTCGGGTATTTTAGTGTGAGATCAGAGTCTTGAAAACAAAATAAACAGACAACAGTCTTGTCATTAGTTGTACTGATATTTGCAGACATATTACAACAAATCAGTTTCAAGTTGTTTAATCAACACAATTTGTATTTTAAATTGCATATGAGCTGCCTTGCATTCTTCAGTCTAGCTCTTTCTTTTAATTTTCTTTCCTTGCCTTTTCTATCGATTTATTTCCTTTGATAAATATATAGGGTAGGAAACGGTTAAATAAATCCTTTCCTTCTTGTCTATATGAACTAAAACCTACTCATATCATTATTTGAAATCTTGTAGCAGAGACAGTGAGGAATGTTCAACTTTAAATGCAACCCCACTGGAAATGAGCTACGACCTTGTTTTTCAGTTAAAGGAATCCCATTTGGTTTCGATGTCTTATCACAAAATAAACACACGATTCAATACACAGTGACACATGAAACAAGAACTCTGCCCGTGTGTCAACCCCCTTGAATATTTCTAGTAAAATAGAGATAACAGAACTGATATTTCATCACTCGAGACCTCCTAGTTTCTAATATGAAAATGTGGGCCACAACATTCATATATGGTCTGTTCTATCCCTCCTCACACCGCACGTCCATGTTTTTATAGTTTCATGCTTTTTTTTAACCACAGACACTGTTGGTCTTCCAGTATCTTTTAATAGAAATGTAGCAGATATATTCAGAATCAATCAATCAATCAATCAATTTGTTTTTAGAACTTCTTCATACTTGAGTGAAATCCAGTGAGCCAGCTCAAAGGTTACACATTTTCTGAATTGGTTTTCAAATTGATAAAAGGCCTGGTTGGCTGCCTTTCTGACTGTGATAATGTCTCCTGCAGGGGGCACTGTTTCATTACTTTATATATGCAGGACCTGCTTTTTTAACTCACCAACTTACAGAGCTTCATTCAAGTTTGATCATTATTCATTGCTTATCTCAAAAGTTGTATAATATTGAGTTGCATCCATCATCCATCTGTGTGTGTTTGTTTTGGGGGAGACATGTTAAGCTTTCAACAAACTTCTGCAAAATACTTGTCAAGCTCTTTTATTGATGTTTGTATAAATTGACGGACAGTTTAAATTCCACAGCGACCACTTTCCTCATTCGTTCCCACATCCCTTACTACCTGTGCAACTTAACGTGTTTGCAAACTATAATAATCAAGCACTACATGCATGTTTTACATTTCAACTGTTAGTGTTTTAGTTAATGCACAACGAGCTGCTTAATAAACACTGCTGTTGATTCATAATAATCTCTCATGTATCTGTCTGCAACAATGTATGTATGTATGACTATTTGTTTAAAGAGTACAGGATGTTCATTTTAGCACAGCTAATGCCTTGGCATTCATGTAGCCACACTTAAAACATGTGGTGACCATTTTCCAAAATAATAGAGCCATTAAGCTATTTGAGCCGGAGAGTCGTTAGTGCTCTGATAAATGACAAAGCTGTGATGCATTCTTTCCTCTGCGTTCATACAATTGATCTCTGCTGACCAAAAAGCCAAAAGCAAACAGACTGTGTAATTATTTTTTGGGGTTAGATAATGTGAAATGCTGGGTCAGAAAAGCAAGCATCATGTATGCATGCCAGCAAGTACTAGAACAGTGTCTAACAGGGCCTGTGAACTGAGTAGAGTGAGAATTACATCCTTAGAGACAAATCTGTCCCTTGAGTTTACAAATAACTCAACAACTTTGATATTAATCAATGTCTGTCTCTTAGTTGATTTGTGGTCACTTAAATAAGCCTCGTACACATGCAATATCCAATATTTCAAAGATATGGGAGTGATCCTCCAACCAAAATCTATCTTTGGAGTTTAAAACCCTCTGTAGACTTGAAAGGAAGTCAGAAAAATCTCAGGAAAAGCTGGTGGACTTTAAGGCAAGATGTGTCAATGGAGACCAGTAGCCTACTTCGCTTCCAAGAATAGTATCAAAACACCCATGTGGAAACACTTGTGTTAAAATCTGTATGGCTTTTATACATTCATACTGTTTTGTTGGATTTGTTCCATATATTCCCTGTTTTGACAAAACACATCAGAATCACACGATGGCGCACGAGTTTGGGGTGCATGCGTACGGTGAAACTTTAATAACTTTTACGCTTTAACCTCAACTTCGACAACAAGAATGCCTCCTTAAAGATTGAGATCGCAAGCCTGATAATGTTTTAACTCCTGAGCGAACTAATGGAGATGAAACCACTTCACATCAATTACGCAGACTGACCTTTATCTTTTCTCATTTCCAGGTTGTTCTCCTTTGGATACCCTTTGTTCAACTCAAAATGACCTTTCATTAAATGTCCATTGTTCTTAGGTTAATGTCAGTGCATTGTCTGTCTGTCCCAGCTAGGTGTCACAGCTAATTGTTAAGATGTATTAAGGTGACTCAATACCAGACAGTAGAAATAACTTTTCTAATGGCAAAATGTTTTTTAATGTTGTTCATGCATAATCACATTACAAAAAGAATACGTCTACTTATGCATACCATTCAAAACTCTTTAAACAACATCCAAGTTTTGATTAGATATTCCGTTAAGCTTGCTAAAAAACAGAACAAAGTAGTCACGAAAGAAGTCTGTGTATATTTAATCCAAATCAAAGCAGATGGATCCCAGTTCCTGATGGATAGTTTATTTTTGAAAAACAAATCAAACACTGTTGTTAGAAGAGGTTCGTCAGCTTCCTTCCTCTCTGCTGGTTTGTTTGGCATTGACTACTATTTTAGAGTAGCTGATTAATCGACTTTTTGGAGTGTGTGAGACAGAACTGGAGTGCCCTCTTTCTCTCCAGTAGCAGACACACTACACATCTGGATCTCATCCCTCTGTAAGGAAAGCCAATCATTACATACCTGAGCATACACTCTTGACTTTCCACGGACACGCCAATAGAGGTTCAAGCCTTAATTATTGTGCCCATTTGTCAAAGTAAAGATTTTCATAAGCACAGTCCAAACTCTGACATTAAAAAGACATTCTGGAAGCTGAGCAGGCACGTTTAGAAAGAAATCTGGCTCTCTAAAGACTGCTGACATTGTGCAGTTAAGTGCATAGAGAGAACAAAGGGAACATTTTGGATGAACGAGATGATGAATTCCTCTGACCGTACCAGATTTAGGTCATGGTTCACATCATACTTACTGCAGGGTCTATTCTCCTTTTTATTCCGGCATCATGGATCATGGATGTGTGTCTGAGTGCATTGAATAGGACTCCTTTAATTGATTTCCCAACCATATTGCAGCAAATTGGTTTAAGAAAAAAAAAATACAGGGAGTAACAGTGCATAAAATTGAAAGCAAATTTCCTTTTTGCATTTCAAGTTGTGGCGATGCGTATAAGCTTCGTGTATCACCAGCCAACACAACTCCTTTTTAATTCCCCTTGAAGTGATATTGAACAGAAAATGTTTTTCAAAATCCAGGAGGATACAAACATCTTTTCATGTCCAAATATAAAAACTGCTTAAAATACAAAAGGGCCCGCTTCAGTTGCAGTTTATTTGTTTATTATCATATTTATATTCATAATATCATTAGGCCTAATCTTATATCTGCCCACTGTATCAGGAGGACCTCATCTCCTATTGAGGACACATGGTCAACTTCTTGGTGATTT